TCAGAAAATGATTTGTGTCCTCAAGATGCTTACTGGCTAGTGACAAAATAGGTACAAGTTACGTACCATAAAAATACTGTTAAGATTTCAGACAAAATAACATTTACACTGTCCCTGAAAGTTAAGATTTGGGAGGCTCTCAATTATAAAGTGGGTGTGGGGAGGAATTCCTGCAAAGGCTCAAAGTCAGGATAATTCAGGTGCTACTGGGCAAACACAAGAGCATTCACACTATCATGACTTTTGAATATACAACAACAACAACAAAAAAATTGACCTAAAGTTGTAACAGTAGGTTGGGGCCATATCAGGGACCGCTGGAATTAAGGCATTTATAATGCCATATGTCTTGTGGCATCTCATAAACAATGAGGCCATTTTACAGGCAATGAAGGGTTAGTGAAAGTTTTTTTTTTTAATCAAAGGAAAAACGTTATCTGGAAATATTTACCTGGAAATAAAAGTGGGTTGGAATAGGAAAAGATCAGAAGGTTTGGGAGAAATCTGCTGGAGGCCCTTCTGATGCCATGGCTCTATCAGAAGCACCAAGGCTGGAGCATGGTCAGTGGCAGGGGAAACTGAGAGCACCTACTGAATAACTTTCTGTCCCCACTCCTGCCCCCAATCCTTGACAATTAACATTCTATATTATGTCGCTATGAGCTTGATAATTTAGATAAGCAGAATCATACAGTATTTGTCTTTTTGTGACTGGTTTGTTTCATTTAGTATAATGCATTCAAGGTTCACTTATGATATAGCATATGATGGGACTTTCTTTTTTAAAAGCTAAATAGTATTCCATAATAAGTATTTACATATTTTAATATTCTATGTTATCCCTTAAGGCTGAATGGTATGATTCCTAAATTTTCATCAAGGTTATTTTCATATCTTAGTTACTGTGAATACTGTTGGATTGAACATGGGTACGTACATATCTCTTCAAGAGCCTGTTTTCAATCCTATCAGATATGTATCCAAAAGTAGGATTCCTGGATTGTATGATAGTCCTATATACTTTATTTTAATTTTAAAAAATTTATTTTGGATTTTTGAGACAGGAGCTGTCTATGTAGCCCAGGCTGGCCATGAGCTCAACTCACAGTTCTTATGCCTCTGCCTCCAGAGTGCTGAGATTTATAGGAATGCACCATCACACTTAGCTTTTTTTTTTTTTTTTTTTTTGCATCGCTAGGGATCAGACTCAGGGACTTGTATATGCACTCTAGTACTGAGCTATATCCCCAGCTACTCTTTTCTTTTCTTTCTTTCCTTCCTCTCTCCCTTCCTTTCTATAGTAGTTTTGCTACATAGCCCAGGCTGCCTCAAATGGAGTGCTGCGATTACAGGTGTATGCCACCATGCCTGACTCCAGCCTATTTTTTTATTTTTTGAGGAACTGCTATACTATTTGCCACAGTGGCTGTACCATTTCAGAATCCTGACAATTATAGTCTACTCTTAACTCGTTTCAGAATGTTTCTGATGACAAGTATCAAGCTCACCCGGGAGTAATTTACAAAATGTGAGGACCACAGCATGGAATCTTACTGGGCTTGTCATCTAACCTCCAAAGGAAGAGCTCCATAAACACTTGTTTAACTCTGACTTTTTTATTTATTTATTTTTTTTGTGGTACTGGGGATAGAACTCAGGGCCTCATGCATGCGAGGCAAACACTAAACCACTGAGCTATATCCCCAGCCCCATAAACACTTGTTTAAAAGACAGACATTTGCCATTGTTTATGTTTCATAATCTACAGATGGTTCTAGGATTCCATTCATTCAGGTAACGTTAGAAGTTAGAAATCTTGAAGACCACTGAGTACAGCTCCATAATTTGATGGGTGAAGTTTCATGATATTTTTTTCTTGAAGTTGGGCCAGAGCACTTGAATTTATTGCAGAAACTTGATTCTGTTTTTTGGTTTTTTTTTTTTTAAAACCTACCCTCAGATTTCAGGATTGTTTTTTTTTTTTTAAACCATAGGCTCTACTCTTTCTGGTCTGAAAATAATTGGCCTTGTTTTAGAATATGAAAGCAAACTAGGGCTTAGGTAGTTATTTCTCTTAACGGGATTTATCCTCCAAGGGGCCAGTTCTGGGAGGTTAGACACCCAGGCACGCCTCACCTCTTGCAAACAAGTTCAGGAACTTTTGAAAGAAGTCATTTGACTCACCATCAGCATAGTCACCAAACCAATGCTTCAGACTGATTCTTAGTAATTTCAATTTTTCAAAATGAATCCCACCCTGAAAGGATAAAGACTTGTCACCATTGGTACTATTTCTCACTAAATAGTTCTAATGGCAATTATTTATAGAACTATGTTCTAGGTGGTTTTCATGCCTCAAATTACGTCACAGCAGCCCATTGGTATTATATTTATTCCCATTAAATAGATTAGGTTTGAGAGCATGAGTAATTTGTTTATGCAACATTGAAATTTGAACTCTAGTCTGTTAGAAACCAAAAACCAGACTTTTAACCACTGCAATGTTACCTCCTATATGAAACGTACTGTGTTGGATGGAAATGATGGGGTCTTCACAAGATCTGGATAGTGAGGTTTTTTTTTTTTGACCCCAGTACTGAGCTTGTGAACTCAGGGCCTTTTAGTTTCTAGGCAGCCTATGGCTTGAGCCACACACCTAGCCCTTTTTGCATTAGTTATTTTTTGAATAGGGTCTCCTGTTTTTCTTCCACTAGTGTGGACTGTCATCTTGTTATTTCTGCCTCCTACATAGCTGGATAACAGGCCCATGCCCCTCCCCCAGTTTATTGGTTGACATGGGGTCTCAAACTGAGATCCTGCTGATCTCTGCCTGTAGAGTAGCTGGGATTCTGTAAGTGAGCCACTGTACCTGGCTCCTCACTGGGTTAATGTGAGAATCAAATGAGTATGTATATATGAAAGGTTTGAGTGTGTTGCAAATTTTATACAATATGGTACAACTACAACATCTTTTGCTTCCCACCACAGAACATTAAATATGTATATATCAGAAAAGGTCCACAAGGTTGTTTAATGTCGTTATATCATCTTCCTTCATTTGGATGCAATACAAATATTCTTCCCAATGGAATTGAAGGCTAAAGCTATCTTGTAAGAATCAAAGTCTCCTATGATTAATTAAAATGTTGAAAGGAAAGGCAACGTGGCAGTTAAAAAAAAAACGTTTTTCTGCCTTTTAGGGTCTCCCTTCCCCCAGCTTTTATTCTTCTGATTTATTCAAAAAGGCATAAAAGCATCTTATTAGCAGTTCTTATCCAGGAAATATGAGCAGTTGGGGTCGACTGAAAGGAAAACGTGGAGAAGGAGGAGTCGAGAGGGAGAAGAATGTCATACAATTTAGAAAAAAAAAAAACAGTTTTAACAGCCCACAGTCAATACTATCATTTTCCCTAGATTGGAATTATCAGATATTTAAAGCACCTTCACAAAATGTTTCATTTTATTACTCTAAATGTTTTCCCTTTCCAAGAATCTTTATTCTGTTTTTTAGAAATAGTTCAAACTCATCTAAATTATTAGACGTGTTTGAAAAGCGGTATAGCCAGTTTTCCATGCACTTAAGTTGAAATTAGTAAGTAGACTGATCCTTCTAATGTCTTCTGGGGAAAGGCAGTGCTTCGATCCTAGCAGATGTTCTAAAACTGTGGATCACCCTCCCCTTCTTCATCAGGAGGATTTCTGGAACATGCTAAAGGCAGATAGTGTGTTGCTGTCTTAGTGTCAAAAGCTTAATTCGGTCAACAGCATTCATTAAAGCTAGCTTCTAGCCCCTGCCCTGACATGCCGAAAACTTAGTTTACATATACATGCTAAAATCCACACATTTCGCAATCCGATTACACTCTTTAAATGTGTTTCAACTCCTCTTGTTATCCTTAATGAATTTTAGGAGCTGTGAACAAACTCACATCACTTGTGTCTTTCCTAGTCAGCCTAACTTCTAACCAGTTCATCTACCCGGTCCCCATATCAAGCTCACGGATTGGACATCCCCTGATGTCGCCCCCCACTCCCACTCCCACACAACAGTTCTCAGCATAGGGCCTTTTGTGCGCCTACTTCTAACAAATTAAGAAACTTGACTAACTTAAGGAAGAGATAATAAAACGTCTGCCCCAAAGGTAATTGTTCATTTCAGGGCACTCTTTGGAGATGTGTTTTAAGCCAGTGCTGCATCTGATGGGGTCAGGGAGGATAAGAACCTTCCCCAAACGTGGGGGCTTATCCCCTGGAGATGCCCGCGGTGGAGGTGACAGATCGCTCAAGTGGGAAGTGGTCTCATTTCCTTGCACAGGGCCTCGGCGTGTGAGGGAAGCAGGGGGATGGGCAGGGGGCCATCAGGGGAGAAGTCTCCGGCCTTTCCACATCTCTCAACACCATCCCTCCCCCACCGCGCCTAAACTAGCCAGGGGATGAGGGGGGCTCCGGGGGCGAGCCGGGCCAGGAGGCTTGGCCTTTGTGGCTCTGTCATCGACGGTGGCGCGGAGGCCGAGGGGGCGGGGACGCAAGCCGGAGACCCTCAGCCGGGGATTGATCCCCAGGTGCATTGTCCGGCGGGGCCCACCCCCTCTCCCTTCCACCCCTCACCCCCAGGCCGCGACCCGGCCACACCGGGTCCCCAACCTCCCTCTCCCAACGTGTCCCTCCGCCGGCCGCACCGACCTCCGGCTCCCCGGACCAGGGGCCAGATGTAGAAAGTAGTCCCCCGGCCGGCAGTCGCGGCGCTGTCCACTCCGCCGCTTCACTCCGCCCCCAGGCCGGACTCTCGAGCCCCCAGCCTGGTGCGAGCGGGTGTCCGTGCGCCACAGCCTCGCCGCCGCCGCCACCGAGAGCCGTGCCTCGCCACGCACGCACGCACGCGGCTGCGGGAGCCGAGCCCAAGCGCGGTGCGCGCAGTGTGGCGTGAGAGCGGGAGCGGCCGCCGGGGCCCGGACTGCGGGCGGACGGACGGACGGACGGCCAGCCGGCCTGCGGCTGCAGGGCGGCCCGGAGCATGCCCGCGCGGCCCCGCTGAATGGCGCCTCCCGTGCGACCCCTAGCCCGGCCGCGGCCCCCGGGGATGCCGCCGCGCGCGCTCCTGCTGCTGCTGCTTTTCTGCTCTGTCCCAGGTGCGCGCGCTTTCTTTTGCGGGCGGTGGGATGCGCAGAGGGGATACTAGGGTGGTGGCGGGGGTGGCGGGGGTGGCGGCGGCGGTGTTTAGAGGTGCGCAGCCCTCGGCGGTGGCGCTGACCACCGGCCTCTGCTCGGTCCTTGGGTCTGTCCGGAGCCCCAAGCTGCGCGCCGGCGCTGCGGGGCGCGGGTTAGACTGTTCGCTCGCGGGCTACAGGCTGCAAGGCCGTGGCGACCGCTGTCCACTCCACTGTCCTCCCTTCTTTCTCGCGCCATTGTCCCGGCTCTGGCCGCGTCCCCGCCTCCCCAGCCAGCCCGCGGGCTCTGCGTCGCCAGCTCGCCCGCCAGCCGGGGCCGCCGGGGCCGCACGTGGCTTTATTTATATTGTTTCCTTAGTGGCAGCCTCGCCGTGCAGGGGGCGCCGCGGTTGCGCGCGGCTTCCAGGGTTTGCACTGAGAGGAGGTTCCCCCAGGTTTTGGGGGCTCGGAGAGAGAATGTGTGAACTCATCCGCCAAGTCTGCGCTGCGCGCTCCTCCTGTGTCGCCCCCCCCCCCGCCCCCAGGTCCCAATCCAGCGAGGAGGCGGGAAGGTGGAATTGGAGACAGAAGAGTTGAAAAGTTGCATGGTCCGTTTGTGCCCCAAGGGGGAGAGAGAAAGGTCCACGAAGTTGGGAAGGGAGATGTCTAATAGCATTTATTTCCTGCACTTGGGTATCTGGGAACAGGGACCTAGAGGTGCATGGATCTGAAAGTCCCTGACTCTCCAGGTCAGCCTTGCACAAAGTCGCTTGCTTCGATATTGGTTTCCTCAAAGAGATGAAAGTGTAAAGTGAGCCTGGGAGGAGGGCGGGGGTGGGTGGGTAGGAGAGAGGTGTTAAGGGGAAATGGGTTATTTTTATTTATTTACAAGTTACAGACCCTGGACTTTAGGGTTTTCTTCTGTACGAGTTACTTTCAGTTAGCAAGAGAAAAGGATCAAAGTCAGATGCGCTTTGGTAACACAATGGTGGTCTTCCGGAGTGGTCCGCAGCGCTAGGTTATAAGGGGACTCGCTCGCTCCTGGGCACTGCACTTCAGGGAAAGTCAGAGCCCGGGAGCATGTTTCCGAGGGCCTGCCTTGATCAGACAACCGAGAAATCTTTCCTGGGGATTTGTAATCAGGGATTCCATATGACCAGGAGAAAAATGAAATGACCCCCATCACAACCCCTAACTCTGCGTTGGCCCCAATCGATATGCAAGACTAGAGGGCTTTTGCACGAGGCAACCCCACTATTAGATGGTTTCTCCTGACGGAGGCCAGAAGCCATGTGTATGCTTTGGATAAAGTATTTCCTCTGCTCTGATAAAAATGTGTATTGGTTGATTAAGCAATCTCCTACCCCTATTAGACAGTACGGACCAATTAGTCACGCTTTTTTTTTTTCCCCAACAGTTGGTAGTTCTAAAAAAGTGAAATAAGAGTTTGCTAATCCGATCACCCACTGAGTACAAGCAGCAAGAGTTATCAACTTTTCAAGGTCTATTGTTTGTCCTTTAAATACCTAGCTGGCTCTGCAGAAATTAAGTAAATGGATTTCTTTCAAGGAGAGGCGACAGAACCCCTGCTGTAAAAGGCCCACATAGAAAAATGCAAACTTGTAATTTGTCACAAAAGATAAACGCACTTTCCAAAGGAGTAGGTGCCAAGAGTTCCAAAAACACTTCAAGGGACAAGGAAATAAACTTGCTTGTTCGCAGAGTTGGAGTTTTGCTAATGATTTCTTGTAAAATTAGAGTTTTACGACATACTCTGTTCAAGATCTTTTTGACAAGCTTGTAAAAGTAGCAAACAGCTTGTGCTGGTGAGTTTGTGCTGATGATTTTGAATCTCTAGCAAGGAATTTGGGAACAGAACTCTTCCCAGGCATGGAAGTTATTGAAATCTGTCCTACTTTTCAAAAACTTAGCTTCATCTATTAAGGTGCTTGTAAGCGATCCAATATATGGTTGATTCGACTTTGTCGTCTACTGTGAATATGGGTTTTACAAGTGTGTGTGTTAAATGATTTTATACCTATAATTCTGGAGGTGCCTTTCTCTTTCTCCTTACAGGAGTGTGGTGTTTTAGCGAACTGTTTTTTATAAAAGAACCACAAGATGTAACTGTCACAAGAAAGGACCCAGTCTTTTTAGATTGCCATGCTCATGGAGAAGTTCCTATTAAGGTCACATGGCTGAAAAATGGAGCAAAAGTGTCTGAAAATAAACGGATCCAGGTTCTTTCTAATGGCTCTCTGTACATCAGTGAGGTGGAAGGCAGGAGAGGAGAGCAGTCCGATGAAGGAGTTTATCAGTGCTTGGCAGTGAACAAATACGGAGCCATTCTCAGTCAGAAAGCCCATCTCACCTTGTCAAGTAAGTCTTGATTGTTGACATTTTTCATTGCTACATTTTGATGATGTCTTGACTTACAAAAATAACCCTAAATATCATTCACACATTAAGAGTTTTACTGGAGATAACAGTTGATGCTAATGAAGGCATGCAGAGAAAGCTGTGAAAAATACATACACAAATTCAGATGACTGATTGAGAATAGAAACCAAATTAGGTTTAGAACTCCAAGCAAAATAAAACCTGTAAAAAGTGGCTTTATAGAAGTTTCAAGTGTTTCCCATTCTAAGAAGAATTCAAGGTAGAAGTTTCGCCAACACAGCAAAAGTTGTTCTTTTGGAATACATAGTTTAATGTAAACAATCACAAGTAAATCTTTCTGCATTGTAGATGGCCCCTGAGTGCTAAATCTTTCTTATAGCCCAAACTTCCATTTTTCTGTCTGCTTTTAGATCACCCATGTTGCTTTTTAATTGTGAGAGGGCATTGGTCAGTAATTCAAGCCTTTGAAGTATTCCTAGTCTTTTCCTGCTGGGAGGGAAAGAGATTAAGGCCATTTCCATATTATGCCTAATGGACTTAAACCAGATCTGCTCATTTTTTTCCCCCACTTGTCATAAAGTTTGCTGTCTAACGATTTCCTTTGTGTTAACAACTCCATTAGAGCAACCATTTGTCCAAGTGATCCATCGCTTAGTGGCTGACCTAGTAACTATGGAGTGTAAGGAGGGGCTTAGGACAGGTAGGGAACTTGCTGCTGCTGAGGTCACTACCTCCTCAGGTGGTCCACACAGCAGTCAAGATACCAACAAAACTGTCTTAAAAACAGTTATAGAGTCATCCTAGCTACATGCTTTTGTTAATACACAAAAGACAGAGTTTGCAAGATACCTATAAATTGACCATTTACAAGGAAGACAACAGGGAGTTTGGTTTTTCTTTTTTATTTACCATACATTAATAATACAAGGGGATTTTGTTGTGATAATTTCATATATGTGTATTGTATACCTTGAACAAGTTCACCCTCTCCATTACTCCATTATATTCCCATTCCCCTTTTAAACAGTATTTGGAGGGTTTCATTGTGCTGTCTTCATGATGTGGAGCAGGCTTCCATCCTCTTTACCTAAGAGATAAAGGTACAACCTTTGGGAATAATTTCTTCAAGGTCTGCATGATTGTGACTTACAAGGCTATTAGCAGGAATTTCCCAAGGGACTTAGTATTGTTCATGGCCATATTTAAGCCACCCTCATATTAGCAGTGTTTTTCATTTGTGCAGTAATGATTAATTGTAGAAACTAAGTTGTAAGCAAAGATATTTTTACGTTGAAATATCAGAAAATTAGTTTCCAAATCTGGCTTCACCCCCACCCCTGACAAAGAGGAGCATAAACTGAAAGGGTAGCTGATAAACTTTCTTTCCTTTTTTAAATTTTTTTCCTTCGTTTTGCTGTAAGCACTGGCTGACCTTTTTAATTATTATTATTAGTGAAAATGGTTTTTCTGTACAGTACTATTTTCAGGATAGTGTGCTTTTCATTCTTAGGTTCTGTTCATTTAATTTTTGTTGCATGTAAAATTGTTCAGCAGGGGTCTAGTTTTTCCTTTTTCAGATTTGTGGAATTTTGTGTTTTCATACCCAGAAAGAGGGAGGTGGAGGAGGCATTTGTCATGAGTGCTGTTGTTTGAAGGACCTCCTAGAAGCCTGAGAGAATTCTCCTGCTCCCAGAAATACTTAACACACAGAGCTTTCTGAAATTGTAAATGAAGGCTGCAAGGTGTGTGACAGGTGTAACAAATAAATATTAGTACTAGGGCTGGATTAGTAGCTCAGTGGTGGAGAGTGTGCCCAGCATGCATAAGGCCCTGGGTTTAACCCCAGCACCCAAAGCAAAACAAAAAAAACTGGCTTTGTGGATATCTTTAGATTTTGATATCTTTCTAAAACTAGCATTAATAATACTTTATTAAATATAGATTATTTCAACGTGTTTTTGTGGTGAAGTAATTTTCACGTAAGTGGAAAACTTTGTAGTGAAACTATAGAACAGAGACTGCCATCAGTTAGAGACCACATTCCTATGCATACTTTTAAACTTAATCCTGAGGAGATATTTTGCTTGGAAAATCTAGTCAATATTATGAACTTAAAATAAATGCATGAGGGATTTAGATTTTTCTGTAGAAAGATGAAATTTTTAGAGATCCTAAATTTACAAAGTTAGTTCTGTTACTACGAATGGATGTTTGATAGAGGGGCTCAAATCACTTTTTCCTGGGTTCAGGGTAAAGATGTTATCCAGAGTAAACAGGAAGAGAGTAGGCATTAAGTGGACATTCTGGTTTTTGTTTTTTAAAAGCTAGTTCTCCTAGTTATTGATAACAGCACAGCACATGTGTGTTCTTACATTCTTAAGAGATTTTATAAGCAAACCTATCTGGTGTAGAAGTATATAGCAGGATAGCACCTGAAATCTAAAACTTTAATCTTTGCAAGTTTTAGGTTTTTAACACACAGGCCATCAAGTGTTGGTTTCTAAACTTAGGAACCAGAAGCTGAAAGTTGCACTTTAGGCAAGAATTCCATTATTCATGTGTAAATTAGGAATTCCCAGGGTTAAAAGGTTAGAAGCTGGCCAGGATCCGAGGTGTACCCTGTGATAAAGAGCAGATGACCCCCATTCATTGGCCAGAGCTTTTATGTCGCTCTTCTGCAGGGTTGGTTATTGCCAGGAATTGTTCTTGAGGAATGCAGAGACTCAAATGTGACCGGCCTTCCCTTAAGTGTCACTAAGGAGCCTTATCTCCCCAGCACATCAGAGCAGGGCTGTGGGGACAAGGTTCCTCCCCAAAGGCCTGGAGGCTGGCTTTCCTGTTGTTCATCCAGGCACAAAAGAATTCAGCTAACTTCGTTTTGCTAAGGCATCCCAGTTTTAAAGGAAAATACAGGGTTAAAGTAATATTTAGCGCTTTTTTTTTTTAAAGGTAATCCTTTTTATTGATAGCCACTTTAGCTGTTTTATATTTTCAGGTAATTAGAATAGACAGGAGAGTGATGTGGGAGGTCCTTTTTCTAGTTGTGTACAATAGTGAGAATAGAAATTTAAACTGTTTCCTATAAATTTAAATATTTTAAATTGTAGTAAATCAAAATTTTACCTTGGGTGCTAAGTCTTTGTTATATAAATACATATTTTAGGAATAAGAACCTCAGGGTATCTTGATGTTTCTTTCATTCTTAATGTAGAAATAAGATAAACTTCATCGAAAAGCATCGTATGGCAAAACAGTTTCAGATTTCAACAAGCTTAAATTAAGATAAGAGACATTTGAGAGAGGTGGAAGAGGCGGGTGTGTTCTGTGATGTGTAAAAGACTGGCTGGGAGCTAGTGATAGAACAGGAAGCCAGTTGTTTATTTCTTTCCCATAAAAGGTGGAAATTGAAGTCCCAGGAAAGAGGGAAAGAACATAAAACTGGCCTGTATTTCTCAGGTTTTTCATGACCGTTACTTGGGCAAAAAATAATTTTTATATGAGCAAATTTCTGGTAGAACATATTGTATGTAACTTTATGTATTTGTTTATTATTGTAACTTCATGTTTTTTTCATTGGAAAATTGAAGATTTTGGCACTAGTAAAGTTATTTAAGGGGTACATTTCTATAACTTAGTAGCAAAAGAAATTTCCTTTAATAGGATGTAGACTGTTTTTCATGAATGAAATCTTCATCACTTCAGATGATGAAACCTAAGGGTTTTTTTTGTTGTTATTTTTTGTGGGATTAGTGAACAACTGTTCTGGAGGTATGGTTTCTGTCTTAAAGAGTAACTTATAAATTGTACTCCAAAGTTGACTTTGAAATGTGAAAGTAAAATATATTAGAAACATTTAAAAGTCATGTTTTCAAAAAAGGGCGGGGGGGGTGTGGGGGAAGGAGTGGTATATTGAAAAGAGAATGATAATCATGAGACTAGAACCTAGAACCTACGTTTTTGGATTTTATAATTGATTCTGGGCCCAAAACAGTCAAAACTTATCTATACTGTCACTGTTTCACTGAGATTTGTGGCGGACAGATAGCATGCCCTCTTCAAAGTCAAGGTAGTGGCAGTTACCTGCCCCAGTTCAGCAGTGCTAACACATAAGTAAATGCCACTTGATTTTGGAAAAGTAAGACAGACAAAACCAAAGGATTTAGAAAGACCAAACTGCCAATACATTAGATAAAGGAATTTTGAACCACACTTTAAAAGAGGATGCGTGGTTCAAAAGTACATTTGATTTACAGGCGACCGTCTTGGATAAGTGAAGTCAAGGAAGGAAAAGTTGCACATAGGATTCTGCAGTTTATTTGCAGTGACACTGGTTTCTTAAAGTCTGTTTATCAGGCGCCTGCTAATCTCGGGGTAATGGAACAGTTTTTCCCACTTCACTTGATTTGGTGAGAACCATTTCTCATTTCAGACAACCATAACACTATCTCACTCTTCATTTTTTTTTTTCAGTGTCCAGTGTGGGGGGATTATATTTTTCTTTAAGATGTATATAAACATATTTGTTTTGAAAGAGCCCTTGGTCTGTCCCTCTTTTGTCAACTATTTCTGGCCATTCTAAAGCTAAGGTCTGACTCCCAAGAGTTGTTTGCACAGGGATTCGTTGTCATTGCTCCCAAATTGAACAGCTGGGCCTGTTGATAAAGTCCAGAGTAATTTAAAAGAATAGCAGAAAACAAATCATTTAAGCAGGGCTTAAGGCTAAATAAGTATTTCAGTTAGTAAATCAAATGTATTCAAGGTTACTTTTTTGAGAACCTTGATATTCTGGACTACAGTTCTGAGAGTGCTCTTTCTCACAAACAGGGTTGTGTTCAATTAGGGTTGATTACTTTCAGCCTTTTGGCTCTTAAGCTGATAATGCCTTTTATGAAAAAAAATTAATGATACTGAGTCAGGCATTTTAAGGATCATACTTATATTTTAAGAACAACTTTCACTATTGAAATGTTTTAAAAAAG